TGTCTTTGAGGACTGTTTTGTTTTGACCCTCCAAGAAAGAAGACATAGCAATTTGGGGGAGTTGCTCCAATATTTTTGACGTAGAAATAGTAGGGTTTTTTTTGTATTTGTGAGCATTCTAATGATTCTAGGAGTTTACATTCAGTTTGAAGTTTCCAGTAAATGGGACATCTCCTCTCAGTTTATGTAGTTCTTCAAGTTGTTTGATGTTATCTTTAAGCTTGGTTTTGATTTCTTCCTTCTTCTTTTTTCAGGTGTGAAGAGATGGAGTTAAGTTGTCCTCTGAGAACTACCTTGAGGGCATCCCAGGTGATAGACCAGGAGGTAGCATCATTGCAGTTGTCTTGAAGATATTGTTTGATGAGGGCTTCTACGGTATTTCCACTGTTTGTTGTTCAGAATATAGAAGAGATTTGTTTAGAGACCAGGTTTGGGAAACAGGATTGGGAGGGCTCAGTTGCAAGGAGCAAGAAACCTATGCATGATCTGACCACAGGATGTTGTCAATATCTGCTTCTGATATTTTGTCAAGGATTGATTTTGAGATAAGAATAAAGTCGATTCTTGAATAAACTTTGTGTCGTGGTGAGAAATAAGTGAAATTTTTCTCTGTTGGGTGTAGATGATGCCAAATATCTATTAAGTGAGAGTCCACAAGTAGAGAAGCCAGTTGTGTGTTGTCATGTCTTTTCCTAACCTCCATTTATTATTTATTTCATTAGATTTTTACCCTGCCCTCCCAGCAAAGCCGGCTCAGGGGACCTATATGAGCAGTCCAGGTCAGGGTGCACAATAGTATTGAAGTCGCCTCCAACTAGTACTTCTCCTTCCTGAAAGGAATACAGAGCAGCAAAGGTATCTTCGAGAAAAGATAGTTGATTTTCGTTTGGAGCATATATAGATGCTAAAGTGAATGTCTCACCATCAATGGAGCCTTTTACAAAAATGAACCTACCATGAGGGTCACGTTTTGTTCCTTTATGCTTATAGTGTATATTATTAGATAGGAGTATGGCTACCCAACAAGCTACTCCACAACCACCAGCATGAAATTGATGACGAATCCAAGTGGCTTTCAGTGGAGATGTAACAGCTGGGCGAAGATGGATTGCTTGAAGGAATGTGATGTCTGAATGCAGTTTATGTAGATTCAGAAGTATTCTCTTTCATTTGATTGGGTTGCTTAAATCTCTGACATTCAGAGAAGAAATGTCGAACTTGCCTGCTATCAGTTAAGTTAATATTGCTTGATTCCTGGTTCAAAAGGTAAGAACAGAAAGTTTGTGAAGTATGAAGTCAAGGGCAAGTTGAAGAAGGAATGTGTGGCTGAAGGACTGAGTACATAAGAAAGTCTTTTAAAATTAAAATAACAGTGTCAGTTAGTTGAAATAGAATGAAGAAAGATGAGGAAAAGAAGACTGGGATTAGAGATAAGTAATGGAAAATAATAATTAAATAAATATAAATAAACTGAACTAAAAAAAGAAAAAAGCTGTTGTAATAAGAGTACCCGATGAAGTACAATGTATACCAGATGTACACCAAAATGTTGCAGATAGCAAGTAAAGGTAATCAGTGTAATATATTATAACATGATTTGTTGAACCCCCTGTAAGGTTCAAAGAAAAAACAAAAAGAAAAAAGAAAGAAAAATTATTTGTATATGTATGTATATGTGTATATAGTATTGGAGTGAGTGTGTGCACCTGGAAGTCATGGCGACCTCTGGTGACTGACCCCTACTGGGGGCCTGGAGGATATTCAGAGAGGTGGCTGACTAAGGCCTGCCCCTGCCTCCCAACTGCTGGTATTCCAAGGAGGTCTCCCATCCAGGTACTTGCAAGAGTGGACCCTGCTTAGCTTCCGAGATCTCTGAGACATATTTGGGACCATAGTTTCTAAGGTAACTCTGTCCACAAGTTTTCATGCTCATTTCATGCATCAGATCCACATTTTATTCAGCAGAACAGGCACATTATACCTAATGGCCTTACCCACTCTAGTCTATGGCAGACTACAGTACCCATTTTCATCTGGTCCAAGAAGCTTTTTTGTAAGAAGCAGAGCAGAAGTGGAGTCCTTGGTTGCTCACACCTTTCTTCTCAAAACAACAGTGCTCCTCACACCAACAGCTCCATCCTAAAAACATTTTCCTGGGCATCAGCCCTACTGAAGAGACTCATTTGGAACTTGAGTAGACCTGCTTGGGGTTGCTCTCCAAATCCACCAGGACACCACTGCCCTTCTGTAAGGAAAACCAGCCCAGTATAGCAGTTAGAGTGTCAGACTACAGTCTGGGAGACCCAGGTCCAAATTCTCATTCTGCCATGGAAGCTTGCTGGGTGACCTTGGGCCAGTCACACACTCTCAGCCTCACATACCTCACAGGGCTGTTGTGAGGATGCAAGAGAATGGCATAAACAGTGTTGGGTCTCCACTGGGGAAGAAGATGAGTTATAAATTAAGTAAGTAAATAAATAAATAATGTTTTCACTACTGATTCAGTGGAGATTAACCGATTACTGCTTCTTTTTGTTCAAGCAGTAATGTAACAACAAGCTACTGCTGGCTACATGGAAGGCAACAAAAGAAAGAAGATGTTCATCAGTGGCTCTAGATGTTCTCATGCGGTGTTATTGTTTGTAAGCCACCTTAAAAACAAGGGCATGTACAGAAATTAAACTAATATCAAACACCACCAAAAGGCTTACAATCCAAGGAGGTGAAACTACACAAAAGAAGAAGCATTTTTGCTTTTGCATAAATGTGTCAGATGCCTACAAAATGAAGACAGATACTGCCAGATGAGAGTTTCTTAGCCAGCTTATTATGCATACTTATTTCTATATATGCAAGAATATATACAGGCTGCAGAAGATTCAGAGGCATTTGCTAGGGCAGACATTCCATAATGTCTGTCCATTTTCTAGGACAGCCACCACTTTGCCTCAGCTGAAAATACAGCCAGGCACACCTAATACAAGCAAATGGTAGTGGGCAGCCTGTGCAACGAACCCCATACTTCCCAAAACCCCATTTCATAAAACAGTGAGCAGCTCATCAAAGGAACACCGGAAGACCTAAAACATTAGGCATAATGTTCAGTCACTTTAGAAATCCTCTTCATACAGTCAAAGGGTAGTAAAGGTAAAGGTTTCCCTTGCTCGAAAGCCAGTCGAATCCGAAACTCTCCGTTTCAAAGCCGAAGAGCCAGCGCTGTCCGAAGACGTTTCCGTGGTCATGTGGCCGGCATGACTAAATACCAAGGCGCACGGAACGCTGTTACCTTCCCACCGAAGTGGTCCCTATTTATCTACTTGTAATTTCTTGCTTTCGAACTGCTAGGGTAATGCAACACAAATTATTTCAAAAGAACACAAACAGAATCTCTCAGTCTGTGCTCGAAAGGGGAAACTGCACACCTGTGCACAATAAAATGCCAGAATGCTCAATAATCATTAGGCATTTCATAACATCTCTTCATTGTGGCAGTCCATAGATAACAGGCCTATCCTTTTGTATTTCTTCTCACGTGGAAGTAAGAGTTTCCATTGCCTCAGAAGTGCCGTTGCCCCATCATCATCCTAAACGGGCCACCACAGCCTGTTCAGCAGACACAGGGCTGAAGCCCCCGCATTGCACAAAGCAGGCCTGCCCCACTGCCTTATCATCTGCTGTTGGTGCATGGAGAGGAGCGGCGGCTGAGGCGTGGGTGTCTCCAGAACTATATTGTGTCCAAAGGGATACATGATCATATCCACAAACCCACTCTTGCCTCACGTTTTCTCATTCCCCAGCATAACTTCTTAGAACACTCCAATACTAATGTTTTTCCATACTGAAAGGTGACCATGAATTACTCAAGAGCATTCTGGGAAGGGCATCAACCCACTACATTCAGAGGAGGAAATACCCAGCCCTCCCAGAGAGCTGGGAATTTTTGCTCTGTTCATAAATAATGATTTTCAGGTATTTGATCTGCCACTGCCTGATTCAGTGCTCTTGTCAATATCACTACCAGGACTTCTACCAAAGTAAAACTGCCCAACTGAAGTACATGGGAAAGGTTCGGTGACAGGGCAGAACCTCTGCATGCAGAAAATCTCAGGTTCAGTTCCCGATATCTCTAAGTAAAAAGGATTCCAAGTCAGGACTACGAAAGACACCTGTCCAAAACACTAGAAAGGTAAGGCCAATTGGAGCAGATAGCACTGGGCTAGATGGATTAACGATTTCATTCCGCAAAAAGCAATTCCATATTCAGATACAAAATACACATTATCCACTTGGGTTATGGATAATACTTGCAACTCTGTTTACTACTTATCTGCACTGGAAAGTTGGTGCCCATGGGGGGATGATGCATATATGTACAGGTCGAAACACAACCCTGGTGCAGATGCTTATAAGTTAATTTTGCAAGCATACCTCCAGCTTGCAGCTTGATTTTAAGTAGTGAGATCTGCTTATTATTGAAAGAGCTATATGAAGTATTTTGGATCAGCTCTTCACAGTTAATCTTTCTTCCCAATTGGCTTTCAAATGTTACATCTATGGCAAACCCCAAGGCTAAGAGATTCTTTAATTATCTTAAATTTCAAGCCTCCTGATAGTCCTACACCATATACATCTCCCCCAGCTGTGTTTGTTAATAGCACACATCTGCCTGCCACATAGGGTTCTCTTCTCCCTTCTGCTGTCTGAAACCTGTCCCCCCCCCCCCAATTATTATCTATTACCCAGGATATCTCACACTGGCCAAAGCAGCATGATCTCCCCAGGGATCTCATTTTTTAGCACGCATCAGAGAAAGACCTTCTGCTTTTGCTAGCAAAACATATGCTTGTTTACAGAGGCTGGTAACATTTTATTCCAGTAATGCACTGCCTGACGAAGCCTCGGGAGGCAATATTGGGCGTGATACCATAACCACCCAACACGGATTCTCCAGCTGATCCTTTATGGTATCATCAGGCAAACAACTCCCAACAAAAACTCACCTCTTGGTTGTAGATCTGCAGCACCTTGAGGACAGTATCTTGCTCCCCACGTTCTACAGTCTCTAGCACAGTCTGGAGCGCCATTGCTCCACTGAGTGGAAGCGGGCTGGAGTGCTGGAAAGCGCAGCAGTTACAGCCTGGCAGGGGAATGGCAGATGTACGGGGGCCTTGTTGCACAGCTGAAGAGGAAAGGGACAAAAGCAAATGAGATTGCCCACTTCAGTACACCCAAAGCACAGAGCAGATGGCTATCCCAGCCGAACCAGCCAGTAACTCACTCGCACTCTCACACTAATCCTCTTCCTCTCTCAGCTTTTCCGTGTTTTATAAATGCCTTCCAAGCAAAGCACTTAGCAAGCCTCTCCCTCACCCCCGCCCCTTGACAAAGGATTACCACAGAATGCTGGCTACAGCTCCCAAAAATAGCCTTCCTCCTCCATCGACTGTCCTGATTTCTCTTACTGTGCAGAAGGGTCCCAGGGAAGCAGAAAGAGTGCACACACGCAAAATGTCTGTCTGGTCACAGTTAAATGGGTGGGATTCTTTTCAGGTGTAAAAAGTGAGGGGGCCAAAGAGCCTCATGAAGCTGAGCGCAGAGACTTTAAAAAAATGGATTCACATATCAGATCGACATCTCTGAACCTGTTCAGGAAATACATCTGGAAGGGTCCTCTTAACACATCACTAGCCTTGACCTCCGCTATGCCCAAAGGGTCCTGTGCCCCTTAGTTTCACTGACAGAGTTTCCTTCTGCACCACCTTACCAACTGAACCACACATGTTTAAAATGCTCACAACGGAAAGAGGGTAAAGGTTCAAATGGTGCAGACACGCTTGCTTCTCTCCAGCAGTCGTTCTCTCACAGCAGATTTCACAGGATGTGATGATAGAAGCAGCGAATTAGCAAGCGAGACCACTGGCCACACAAATCAGGACAGGAGCTGCAAGTCCACTGCTAAGCCACCACACACTTGGGAGCTGTGAGCTTTCTAAAGAGGCGCTCTAGTGCATGCTATAAGTAGAAACAGATCTGAAGGACTGTGAGAGGCCAAACCATGGTATCTGCCGGCAACTGAAAGCTGTGTACAAGCAAGAATGAGAAAAGGCCTGATAACATTTCCAGAATACCACATGCCCTACTGTTAAATAATTGCTTCTCACTTACATGGTCTACCCATCACATTTTGTAAATTTACTGAGGAAATGACCTGTGGAATAGTGTAACTAGGCATCAAGTGTATAAGGTAAAGGTAAAGGTTCCCTTGCTCGAAAGCCAGTCGAATCCGACTCTAGGGTTGCGGTGCTCATCTCCATTTCCAAGCCGAAGAGCCAGCGCTGTCCGAAGACGTTTCCGTGGTCATGTGGCCGGCATGACTAAACACCAAGGCGCACGGAACGCTGTTCCCTTCCCACCGATGCGGTACCTATTTATCTACTTGCAATTTCTTGCTTTCGAACTGCTAGGTTGGCAGGAGCTGGAACTAGGGACGGGAGCTCACTCCGTCATGCGGCACCCGGGTCTCGAACTGCTGAACTACCGACCTTCCACAGCCTGCGGGTCAGCGTCTTAACCACTTGAGCCACCGCAGCTCCTATCAAGTGTATAGTTAGATGTATATTTACAATTAAATAAGAGACTATCTACTGATAATTCTTTGAAACCCACCAAGCAGAGAGTAACTTCTATATTCATTACCTCTAAATAAATAATAAGTATGTCATAAATGTGTTATTCTGTGTCAACACTTGGGTGGGTTTTAAGTGTAATTTACAATAAGAATTCTGCTCTCTTTTAAAACCAGCATTTTCGGTTAAGAGGGAGGGAGGGGACGTCTGAAGATATAAAACAGAGACTGTGTTGATACCTAATAGCCAAGAAGACCTGGGCCCCCATGCAAATCAAAAAGCTAACACAATGGGGCCACAAACAGCCAAGGGAGGGAATCTCTGCTATGTTAAGGAACTCTCCAGATATGTAGAAAATATGACTTTGTAAACTGACCAAAAGAAGAAGAAGAGATTGGGTTTATACCCCATGGCCCTTCACTACCCAAGGGAGTCTCAGAGCGGCTTACAAACTCCTCTTCCTTCCCCTCCCCACAACAGACACCCTGTGAGGTCGGTGGGGCTGAGAGAGCTCTTAACAGACACTGCTCCTTTTCAAGAACAGCTCTTACAGAACTATGGCTTGCCCAAGGTCATCCAGCTGGCTTCATGTGGAGGAGTGGGGAATCAAACCCGGTTATCCCAGATTAGAGTCCGCGCGCTTAACCACTACACCAAACTGGCTCAGGAAGAAAACCTTCAGATAGGGGAGTGATGAGGCCTGAAGGGGCAGAATGTTGTAAGCAGAAGAAAGGGGAAGTGGAAGGAAGGAAGTCTGTTCAGATCCCTGAGAATTTAGAGAACAATCAACAGGGAGATCTTGGGGGGGGGGTAGATTTCCAAATTGTTTTCCCTTCCTGCGATTCCTTTCAGACCTCCCAGCTCGTAGGATAGGCGCTGCCATACTAAGCAGAGCTATCATCCTTCAAATTCCACTGACTTCAAGATATAACACCACTTAAAGATGGCACTGAGAATAATATCAGTCTTCCAAACACTTCATAGAATACATCATCATCCAGTATCTCCAACTGTTATGTGCAACTAATTGTCTTCATCTGGAACTATACCTGGGAGATCCTGTGAGGTGGAAACCCTTATGAAACCTAATGGATCCCAGAAAATTCTGCAGTAAAGTCAAATCATACAAGTTCAACTGACACCGGGGCAATAAATTTTCTAGTGTTTGAGCTTGATACTTTGGAAGATAACAGTGACAGAAGTTTTCTGTCTCCTCTGGACATTAATACCTGTGGATATCAGGATCAGAAAAACTGTCCCTTGGGTCATCGTAAATTATTGTGTTTAATCTTTCTATCATTCTCCCGGTGTAATCCATAGTTCCTGTTGTAGCCACATGTTATCTCATTTATTGCAACAGGCTGGGTTTGTATCCAAATATGACCCCATGACATCAGTGGAAGAATCACACTGATTTCAGCAACTTTGAATGTTGGTTTCTATGCCACAACTATTAAGCCAACTCAACATTTCAAAAATCACCAACTCCATGCATAGAAGTGGGGAAACCAGTGGGTCCACAAAATATACAACCACCACCCACTATGATGGAGCACTTCAAAGTTTCATTTACCTAATGTAATAGCACTGCTTGTCCTAAACTGAGTCCCCATGATCACTCTGAGCATGACTGGGCCAGATTTATACACCAGCAGGGGGATCATTTGTCATAAGTACAAATAATGATTTGGCACACTGTTGCTCAATATTTCTTAAGAAGAGTTGCAATGGAGTCAGTTTTGTGCTTACAACAAATGTTAGAGATGTCCTGTTTACCATGTGGCAGGTGTAAGAACAAAGCACAGCGCTTTTGTGTGAATCAAATTCCAACTGCAATGTTAGAAATACAGTCTGTATGATATTTAACTGTTCTGTGTACTATTATGCAGTGACACGTTGGGATGATTTCCATGGAAGCGATGCCATTTGATAGGGAGCTAGGCAACATCCTTTGGACATGTCCATGGTTATCATAATGGCTACTTTCACAAGACTGGTTGTGCAGAAGGTTTATCAGCAATAGCATCTAGCAGTGCAAGCAAAACACTTCAGCGAGCAACAGCCTTCTTCTCTGACAAACTAATACCTCGAATTGCTAGTAGGATTTTGATGGCAACAGGCTATGAATCATGCTAATTCTTCTGCTACGGCACACACAAATCTACGTAAACAAGTATGAATCTGTATGACTGTTCAGTGGCAATCAGCTGTGTTCAGGCCCGTCGCCAGGGTTTTTTAAGTCGGGGGGGCATTTAAATGTCTTAGGGGGCCACTGGCTAATTGAATTAAAGGTGATTTAATTCAGTTTCTGGGGGAAATAGAGCGGTGCTGTCTGGCTCCATGTGGCCACCGTAGCTGTGCCAGACAGCTGTGCAGGAATACTCGGCTCCTTCCCGGCACCTGCCACTGCAGGGGGGGGGGGCTGGATGGGAAGTCCTGGGGCCTTGACAGTATGTTGGGGGGGGGCTAGCCATGCCCCACTGTAGCTACAGGCCTGGATGCTAAGCCAAACCATTCCCGAGTGGTATGAATCTTTCAAATTATACCAGAACTTACTGCAATGTTCCCTCTAAGCCGCGCAGTCTCGTGAGCAAAAATTCTCCTTTGTGAGCTGCTGGCATTAAAGGTTGTGAGCGACCGATTTGGCTACCGCATAAATCAGTTTGCTCCGGAGTCCTCCTTCCTGAGCCGAGACAAAAAAATGTGTGAGCTGGAGGCTAAAAAAACCTGTGAGCTATCTCACACTCACTCAGCTTAGAGGGAGCACTGGAACCTACCCCCCCCCACACACACACCACATTTTCGGGCACCAGGTCACAGGTTTCCAAGGCAAGAGATGTGCAAAGGTGGTCTGCTGCTATGGCCTGGCTTCGCACAGCAATTCTACGCCCTTCCCTAGCGATCTCCCCACCCCTCTATTAACCAAGACTGACCCTGCTTCGCTTCTGGGGTCTGAGAAGAAGAGAGCCAGCTATCCTGGGCGACGGCCAAGCGGATTCTTCTTTGGGAAACGCAAGCGAAGGGAAACCAGGCGGACTTAATGTCCGCCTGGTTTCCCTTCGCTTGCGTTTCCCAAAGAAGAATCCGCTTGGCCGTCGCCCAGGATAGCTGGCTCTCTTCTTCTCAGACCCCAGAAGCGAAGCAGGGTCAGTCTTGGTTAATAGAGGGGTGGGGAGATCGCTAGGGAAGGGCGTGGAATTGCTGTGCGAAGCCAGGCCATAGCAGCAGACCACCTTTGCACATCTCTTGCCTTGGAAACCTGTGACCTGGTGCCCGAAAATGTGGTGTGTGTGTGGGGGGGGGTAGGTTCCAGTGCTCCCTCTAAGCTGAGTGAGTGTGAGATAGCTCACAGGTTTTTTTAGCCTCCAGCTCACACATTTTTTTGTCTCGGCTCAGGAAGGAGGACTCCGGAGCAAACTGATTTATGCGGTAGCCAAATCGGTCGCTCACAACCTTTAATGCCAGCAGCTCACAAAGGAGAATTTTTGCTCACGAGACTGCGCGGCTTAGAGGGAACATTGCAGTAAGTTCTGGTATAATTTGAAAG